AGCTAAAATGGATAAGTGATTAGTACCCACACGGAACAAAACCTCCATTAGACGTCCATATAGCCTCCATAGCTCCATACAATATCCACGTCCACGATGGAAGTTAAATAGATCTCCAAAAGAGATCCATACTATATCCATGATAGATGTCCTCCACAAATCTATCATCGACGTCCATTAGACATCTATTATGGATTAAAAAAAAAACCTGATATACGGCATCGCCGATAGATGGAGTCAGCAAAGTTGTCTTTCTCGTATTTAAAAAACAATATAGAATGGAATAAAAGCCGCAGTATTATGAGATTTTTTTATTCATTAACAAAATGATTCTTTGAAAGAGTCTTCAAAATTGATTTTTAAGATGAAACTAAATTAGATGTTGTTTTGATAATACAGTTTTATTGAGTTTTATGTAAAAATAATTTCAGGAATATGATATGTTCTTGTTAAATGTAGTTATTTGTATTTTGTTATGTTGCTAGAAATCTATAAAATCATTCAGCGAAAACTTTATGAGATCTAGGATTGATTTACACAACGTTTGAAAAATATTTATAAATATGGACGTCTAATAGAGGTCGAATGGAAGTACAAAATGCGGAACTATGGATGTTTAGTAGATATCTATAGGAATTAGTTACATGGATGTCTAATGAAGGTTTCGAATATCTATGAAGAACGTCTAATGGATGTCTAATAGAGGTTTTTGTTCTGTGTGGGTAAGCACTGCAATACCACAATATGTTTTGTATTTAATTAATATATAGATAAGAGAGACAGAAATTATATTTGAACTATTTGTCAAATTTAGCAAGAAAGTTTCTTTATGACGTTTAATTAATCCAGACTCCAATCCAGACTCCAATCCAGACTTCAATCATATTTGGTTATGAAACCTATATTTTCTTGCATACATTCTTAGAATATTGCTGCTATAAATTCTACACACGTAATAACTTCGTATAGCATACAACTGAGTCGACAAGGCACACAGGGGATA